AAATCAGGGGGGCCGGAGAGATTATTAGAAAAGGGCCTGTAAAACTCCTATAAGAGACCCGTACGTTTAGCATTTTTGTAGTTGAAGCACCGGCAATTCTAATCGATCCCCTATCCCGTTGTAAGGGAAAATAAATTCGATTTTCCTTGAGGTAAATACATCAGGAGTCATAGAACTTGCACGTCACGGTCAGTTTGGTGCACAAACTTGTAAAATACGTGTTTTTAGTCATCAAACTTACACAAACGTTCATATACGGTCACATTCTATGTACGCAGACGTATCCGTGGCCTATGTGGCATGCCAGCATGGCCAGGGCCCACTATAAGTCCGCGACGCATGGTAGATTTGCAGGCTTTTTCTTTATTTACGTATTATGCACCTATTTTTTAACTTCTTAAGCCCCTAAAATAAAATGATTTTTTATTTACGTATAAAGCCCCTAAAATAAAATGGAAAAATAAGGGATGGTTCGGTTACGAACTAGGGACGTGCCCCTACTAGGCTCGGGTTAACAACCATCAAACCGATGATCATTCATGTCTAGGTAGCACAAATAATTTTTATATCATATAAACACGGCCAAAAAATCAATTTTACAAGAAATCTAACCCCAAAAAAGGGAGCACCGTGGCTCGACTATGTGACCTCGTGGTCAATGTTAACTAAGATTACCACTGGATTTCAAAAACACAACATATCCAAATGGGATAAATATTTTTCATGTTGTTATTCCTTCTTGTTCTATGTAAGAAAAAAAATTATATTCTTGTGTTTGTGATATTTAATAAATGTTTATGTGTTACAAAAAAAGGTGTGTGACATTTAAAAAAATGTTTAAACATTGTAAACCACATTTGTGTAAATTAAAATGATACGTTGCATTTCAAAAATGTTCATGCATTCCAAAAAAACTGGTCATGACATTTTGTAAATGCCTATACAATGTATAAAACTGTTTGTGTAGCTTGAAAATGTTTCGTACCATCCAAAAATGTTAAAAACATAGTTGATTTTTTTTTCAAAACTTGTATTTGAAAAAAATGTTAATCATATGTTTAAAAAGTATTAAGCATATACTTTTTAAATACTCATAACATAGATGTATACTGGAGTATTTAAAACATCAAAACATATGTGCATCATATGGAGTATATGTTTCAATACACATAAGTTTCAAAACTTGTATTTGAAAAAATGTTAATCTGGACGTGCTGTGTTGATTATCATTTTTTCAAATACAGGTTTTTGAAACTTTTTAAAATGTCACATACCTTTTTTTAACACATAAATATTTTTTAAATGTCACAAGCACAAAAATATAAATTGTTTTCTTACATCGGGACGTGTTGTGTTGTCGGTGGTAATCTTAGTTAACCTTGACCACAAGGTCACATGGTCGAGCCACGGTGCTCATTTTTCCGTGTTATATTTCTTGTAAAATTTATTTTCAGTCAATGTTTATATGATACAAAAATTAGTCGTGCTATATAGACATGAATGATCAGTAATCTGGTGGTTGTCCATGTGAGACTATTAGGGCACGTTGCAGCTTCAAAACCCCATACCGCTTGTTTTCTCATTTTATTTTTAGGGGCTTAATACGAAAATAAAAAAAGTCAAAGGCTTCTCTGCAGATCTAGATGCTACAGCGGATGACAGTGGGCCCTGGCCACACTGGAATGCCACATAGGCCATGGATACGTCCGTGTATATGAAATGTGATCGTATATGAACGCTCGTGCAAGTTTGATGACAAGAAACACCTATTTTACAAGTTTGGGGACCAAATTGACCATCCCGTGCAAGTTTTATGACTTCGGATATATTTACCTCATTTTCCTTTCTTACACCGCACCTAGTCGTTTTTCCTTTTTTACGCCTACCAAAATCCCTAAATATACTCAGTCTGAGGGCGGCCGGGGATAAATTATCTTCACACAAAGGTCTTCTTGTGGCCGGCTGGCAACTCGCCTGAAGCTCCCTTGTCGATGGCGGCGACCTCATAGACGAAGAACTTGACCTAACGGCCACCCCGCGTTGCACCCCATAATGGAGAGGTGCACCTTATAGATGTCGCTGCGCATCCTGTACTTGTGGATGATCAGTCGGTGAAGAATGGGATGGGCACGAAGAGGCTGCAGTTGACGACGAGGAAGTCAATGGCGTCGGGGCTGATGCTCGTCTGGGCAAGTAGGTCGTCAATGGCAGAGAAGATGACGAGCTCCACGTCCTCGTGCGAGGCCTCCAAGTTTTGGTATGGCAGGATGAAGTGGTGCGCCGGGGACAGGCACGTCTCCTTCCCAAGCCCGGATCGCTCCAGCAGCCGCGTCATGAAACGGATGATGCGCTTGTCAATCGAGGCCCCCTCAATGAAGGTGACAAGCTTGGCGTGCTTGAGGAATGTGCCGAAGGGGACGCGGTGGCTGGGCTTGGTGCGGAAGCAGGCGTAGTCGACAAGGTACACGAAGCGCGGCCGCATCTTGAGGTATAGAACTACAACGGCGGCCGGCAGGAACGCGGCCAGAAAGATGTGCATGGGCGATGACCGAGGGAGATGGCCTAGGGCTTCTATGGGTCACCAGCGTCATAGACACGCATGACGATGTTCGACGAAGTGCATAAACAAAAAAAAATAACTTTACTCCGTTATATATTGATGATCTTCTAGATCCGGCCAAATCTTAAGTGGAGTAAAAATACTCTGCTAAGGTTTTACTCTGCCAGATCCTCCTTATTTTTTAGGGGTCGGTTAGAGTTGCCCTAAAACCCCAATCCAGCATTGGAACGTAGCAGAAGAGAACATTGCACTGAACGTAGCAGAAGAGAGAACAAGAAGAGCTGTACTGCATTTGATCAATGGAAGGAACAAGATTAGAGAGTATGCAAGCGGGCACTCACACCACGTTCCACGCTACTACCACGACTCTTAATAGACCAACGCAAACATACGAACCCACTCGGCCGGACCGCATGCGATGCCACGACGACGACGACGACGACGCTCAGTTGGACCGCATTTTGTTGAGCTGGTTCAGCGCCGGCTGCAGGATGTTGTACAGCACCCACCCGAGCGCGGGCGCCACCACGAAGAGCAGCAGCAGGCCCCGGTTGTCGTCGGCGGGCGCTACCGCCGCCAGTGCGGCGAGCTCCTGCACGGCGGCGGAGGCCGGCTCCGGCACGGCGGCCAGGCCCGCGGCCGCGGCGGCGCCGATGCCGAGCCCGGCGACGAGCGCCTTCTCGGACCGCATCTTGTTGAGCTGGTTCAGCGCCGGCTGGAGGATGTTGTAGAGCACCCACCCGAGCGCGGGCGCCACCACGAAGAGCAGCAGCAGGCCCCGGTTGTCGTCCGCGGGCGCCGCCGCCGCCACGTCCGCGATCCGCTGCGACGCCATCGCCGCGTCCGACGAGGCCAGCGAGGTGAAGAAGGCGCTCGCCATGGCCGCGGCCGCCGGCGACACGGCCAGGGCCCCCTTCTTGGCCGCGTTCTTCTGCAGGCTGCGCAGCGAGATGCTCGGGGACGCCACCTTGGTGCTGGACGACGGTGACGACGAAGGCGCCGACCTGGCCGTGATCTTGGCGGGCTTGAGCATGGTCATCGTGGCTATGGTCGCCATTGACGCCTAGCTCCCTGGTTGCTCGCTACCCTCTCTCCCTCGCAAGAAAGAAGAAGCTCTCACGCTGGCAAAAAGGTGGATGGAGGGGTGGTGTGAGGTGCGAGGGTGTGTAATGCAATGCCCTCCCCCTGCGTTTCTAGAAGGAACGATGTGGCTAGCTTATCTTGTGCGGCGAGTGTGCGATCGAGGTTTGAAAGCTTATCTCGCGGCCTGCAACTTGCAATGCCATTGGCTGTGGGAGCAACGACGTGGGGACCACACGATTTACATGGAGACTTTGATGATGAGAGGAAGTAGGGTAGAGCGGTGAAATGAGTCGGAAAATTGAGATATCTCGCGGTAGGAATATAAGCGTACTCTAGAATGCCCTATGGTACCGAACGACAAGATCGTATTCGTCTCAAGAAAAGGCAAGATCGGAGATCATCTGGATTGAAACGTCGCTAGGTATTTACGGCAATTTCATTTAAACATCGCTAGGTGTTCACGGTAATGACGTTCATCTTCGTGCTCCGCAGCTTGACCGCTTTCGTCTTGGTCTACGCCCACAATAAGGCCAACTTCACCACACGACCTCAAACAGATGTTCGTTTTGTCCGGATTCTGTCCGTTTGGGTAGGGTAATGGGTTCGTGCCCGGGCGTGTCCTGGGATGCGGTGGCCGTGCGCCCAGTGCACGGACGCATCCGTTCGCCCCATCCTGTCCGCGTCTAATTAAAAAAATACGTTTGAAAGCCAAGCCCTAGTTCATCAGGCCAGCGGCCTACACGTCCATCGCCGGCATCAGCCAACCTCCAAAATGAATAGTTGTTCACGCCGACAACACAGCCTTTGTCGGGCCGCCTCCTTCATGTTGATCTTCCTCCTCTTGGCCGCCTCCTCCATCTCAAACTTCTTCCTTTGAAGGTCTAGGTATTGCTTCATTTGCTCGTCCTTGCTTTGCCGCTTCTTCTCGTCTCACATCCTTTTAAGATATTATGCCATGCAAAGTGTCATGCAATGCCATGGCGCGAACAAACCGACGTCCGGTGACCCCGAGAAACGGGTCTAGCCGTCGTGCCTTGGCGGAGGAAAGACGGCCGACATGGGCGTGGTCCGCGACTGGTAGTGCGGAGGCCGGGCGACCGACGAACCTGTGCTCGTTGAGCCGACGGCCACTGCAGGGAAAACGGCGGGACAACCCATGCCAAGCATGAGGAGCGCGTGCGCTTTGTTGACGATGTCCTCCTTCTCGTCGACCGCGGCTTTATGCCGCGCGGCCTCCATCGCATCGTGCTGGGCGGCGAACTTGGCCGCGGCGACATTGACCTTGGCGACCGCTCTCCGTTCCCTCCTCTTCGCCGATTCGGCGTCCAACTTGGCGATCTCCTCCGGCGCGCACTCCGACTGCGGCTTCCTTGACGCCTTGGCCGCCTTCTTCTTCACCTTTCCGGATGGATCGACGGCCAGGCCACCGAAATTCGGCCGGATGTCGGCCATGGACGAGGGAGGGAGAGGGGTGGCGGGAGGGACGTGTGAGGGTTTGGTGGGAATAGCGCCAAATGGGCGGACGGGGGGTTTTGCTTTGTGCCATTGACAGGCGGGCCAGGCAAGGATAAGCGCGCGCGTCCCACCCGTCCGCGCACTGTCCGTTTCACCCCAAAACCGACGCAAACTTAAACCGGGGATGAGTCGAAAGCGGACACAAAACGGATAAAAGTCCATTTGCGCCCGCGCGCTGGACCGTCTGGTTTATCCGTTTTACCCTAAACGGACAGGAAAAAGATAGGGTCGCGCGGTGGAGTTGGCCTAAGCCCCGGCCACCGTTTTCCTCCTTGCCTTTGTATTGGTAGGCAACGAGAGTGGTGAGCGATGGGAAGCTGCGCTAAGCTGTGCCGACGTGGTAAACTCGGTAGCACTGTAAGCGTTTATGTTCCTCAGACGAAGTAGACAACACATACTCAAAAGTTTATGAATTACTTGAAGCATGGACATGCATCAAAAGATGATCAACGATGAACCACCAAACTAGATACAGCACGAAAAGAATAAAATCTGGTAGCAATTATTCACTCCCTACACGGAATCGTCAAGCGGGGAATATCCTGCGTTTCCACCCATTATTCGTCACCACGGAGCCAAAACAAACCAAATGACAGCTGATTACAACTTTCGACATCTCCACGGGGTAGTAGACCTCACTCAGGCTCCGAGCTGCAGCTTCTTTATTGTGTCGATCTGCTTCGCCGGGTTGAGCCCCTTGGGGCAGGCATGCGTGCAGTTCTTGATGGTGTGGCAGCGGTACAGCTTGAACTCGTCGTTGATGGAGTCGAGGCGCTCCTTTGTGAACTCATCACGGCTGTCTTGGATCCACCTGGAAGGACGAATGTGTTTACGGCACACGCCAAAGAAGCATGTCATATCTCTCAGACTCTACAGGCGTAAGCCCAATCCAAAGGGCTGAAGACATTTGAAACACTTGCAGATATGTGAAATGAGATGCTTGTACAAGTGACAAACGACTAAAACCTCTGATTCTGTTTCCAGTTTCTTCTGACTAAGGGGAGTTGCAATTATTAGTCAAAAGATATTCAAATTTTCATGTGCCTTATATCAGATCATGTTTTAAATTATATGTTATGACAGGAGCATGGTGACAAATATGATAAATCAGAGGATCAGATATGCAATCTCAGTGAAAACATGAAGTAAAGCCAGATCAGATAAATACTGAATCAAACAGCCAGCTTGTAGAAACCTTAAACAACAGAATCTTTAGCTTCATAAATGCTGAATAGCATAAAAAACAGTACATTACACTGCTTCAACTAAATAAAGAGAGAACCATGCCGTTTGTTGGCAAAAAAAGCTTGACAGATAGTTTCAGGAATCAAACACTGAAAGAGGGCAACCTTATTTTGCTGGACTACTGAAGAGCTAGTTCTTTCTTCTACCCAGCTGTTAACATCTACCAAGACGCTTTCTTAACACCCATCAGTTCACCCTTGTTTGCCAAGGTGCGGAACACGATACGAGACATGCGGAATTTCTGGTAGACACCACGAGAGCGGCCCGTGAAAATACAGCGGTTTCTAAGACGTGTCATGTTACTATTTCTTGGCAGCTTGGACAACTTATAGCGAAACTTATCCCGCATATCTGATGGAAGTTCAGGGTCCCTACAGACAGCCTTATAAAGCTTTCCTCTCAGCTCATATTTTGCTGCAAGAATTCTACGTTTGTGATCCCGCAAGTTTCTCTTCTCTGAGACTGAGACCCCATGGTATCCTCGAGCTTGGACGTGCATGAACATGCTGGGTTTTGGTTTCATTACCGCCCCCCACAGCGGAAGCATGCTGGGTTTCGGTTTCATTAGCGTCCCCCACAGCGGAAGCCTAAAAAGGGTGAACGGGTGAACGTGTCATGGACTTAACAACATCCTAAAGCTTACAGCAAAAGGCATTAAATATATTAGACAATTATCATTTTAATCTTGGTAGAACATAACCATAATTTTCTGGTAAAGGGAAACTAGCATGCTCTATACTGAAAGAGAGGCCACCACAAATAAAAGTAACTTCAAAATCAAGGCCTCGTCAAGAATCAGACTACTTGGGGGGAGGGCTTCCAATGTCATCAAGAATCAGGTAAGGAAAAAGACTCACGACGTCATGAAGAAGCAGACTACTAAAACTACAAACTCATGATTATTTCCAGCAGTGGCATCAACTTCCAGTTCAATCAGCCAAAGACCAGATAAAAAGGAATACAAACAGTCACTCATGCCTTAAAATGTATCAGTCATTCTTTAACCAAACTGAAATTTCACACTATCCACCAAATGATCATCTACACCGCTTCACAGGGGGGCTAGCAAAAATGTAACAGATTATCATTACATAAATGGACCTAAAAATATAAACAATCACTGATACCTTAATATGTATAGGCGATCTTCAACCAAACGGGAATTTCACACTATCCAACAAACGATCATCTACACCACTTTGCCAGGGAGCTAGCAAAGAAGTAACAGATGATCATTGCATAAACGTACCAAATAATTCAGCGCCACATCAGACCAGCGAACCATTCTCCTAGATAAAACGCACTCAGTTTCTCACCAAACTACCTAAGCGAGATAGAACCACCCTACGCATCATCACATAACCATTTCACAGCAAGCACAGCATGACACACCAACAGATCAAGCATAGATCCAAAACACAGACGCAACATACTCAAGCATATCATCACAATTCACAATATCAAGAGCTTATGAGGGAGGTGCAGGTATACCTGTTGGCATGGAGCAGTGCGGCAGGGCCGAGATACTCCTCTGGGTTCCACCAGTAGGACGGGCAGGATGTGGAGCAGCAGGCGCAGAGGATGCACTCGTACATGCCATCAAGCTTGGCGCGGTCGGCCTTGGACTGGTAGATCTCCTTCCCACCGGCCGACGGCGGGTCCTTGCGCTTGAGCCACGGCTCCACGCTCTTGTACTGGTTGTAGAAGTTGGTCATGTCGACGACGAGGTCCTTGACGACGAACATGTGGGGGAGCGGCGAGATCGTGGAGGCCCCGGCCGCCTCCGAGGAGATCTTGGTGAGGCAGGCCAGCCCGTTGTCGCCGTCGATGTTCATGGCGCAGCTGCCGCAGATGCCCTCACGGCAGCTCCGGCGGAAGGTGAGGGACGGGTCCTGCTCGTTCTTGATCTTGAGGAGCGCGTCGAGCACCATGGGGCCGCAGTCGGAGAGGTCCACCTTGTAGTCCTTGAGGTGGGGCTTGGTCGACGGGGAGTCGGGGTCCCAGCGGTAGATCGAGAAGGTCTTGGTGCTGGCGGGCTTCGACGAGGGCGGCGGCGGCGCGGGGGATGAGGAGTGGGGCTTGGAGGCGACGAGGCGGGAGGAGAGGGCCGGCGAAAGGAGGGCGCGCGCCGCCGGCGAGCGGCGGAGGAGGGCGGCGGCGGCCATCGATTTGGGGTTTCGCGTTTCTCTCTCTCTCTCTCTCTCTACTTTTTCT